CAACCATAGCTCAGTGTTCTTTTAACCCACTACTACATCAGTGAAAGCTGTATGGGAGAGAGAGGGGTCTAAGTGGAAGAGAGCAGGTTCCCATTGTATGCAGAAATACTGTCAGTTTTGAAGTGCTATTTGGAGCTACATGAAGAGTAATTTCAACTGTACTATTTACAGTTCAGTTATRTTGAAATATAGACTTCAATTTATTTCCTATTGCTTTCCTATTGTTACCTGATTTTAAAGTTGGGAAAAAAACAAACCTCCAGTAATTACAGAAAAATGTAGTTTTATCATTATTTGACACTGGTATATGAAAGCCCTTGAAATACATGTTAACATGGTACTTTGAAAGCATCATTAATATACAAAATATAACTTCTGTCTATAGCCATTTTTATTACTGAGGGCTACTAAACACACAGATTCCAATGCTCAGTCACCCACTATAAATTGTGGAAGGCCTGGCAGTGTGCTGGGGGAAGGGGCAGATATCACCACCTGCTCCTTCTGTTTTCCAGATAATCTGATACCAGCTTGAGACATGGGATATGAGCCTTGCTCTTATGAGACCAAATAATTTGATTCTTACAGACTATAGCTCAAGAAGCACATCAATGCACTCAGAGGATGTTTTAAACTGTATCYAACAGATATCACTGCAAGACAAATGACAGATATGCCAAAAGCAATTCTCAGTGAGATACATCTCATACATCTCAGTGACTAGTTAACTTATAACCAAGCTCCTTATGCAGGGCAGTACATAAAAATTATTACAGTTACTTGCAGAAATAAATGAAATTAACAGAAATATCCGTTTCTACCATTTGCAAGCTGTTTAAGGAGCATGGGTGAATCAAACATTAGGAGRACATTAGAAACTTTCCTTATACATCTGTTGGGACACTGAGAAATACTGAATAATTTCTGAGTTACACATCATTAACCAAGAATCCTGAAATCTGTAACTGGGTAACTTGTGCCTACAGCACCCCAAAAGGAATAGTTAAAAGCCAGCAGGAAAACTTTTGCCCTTGATACCAGGTGGCCTTGATCCGGCTGCAATTACCTTTTTCTTTTATTTATCTATTCTCCACCACCACCATTACCTGCTATTTGTACAGAGCCATCCTCACCCAGAAGAATGTTGCCAGCCTTCAAATCTCTAGAATGTACAAACAGGAGTTAGCATGAAAATGCATACTGCACATTTTATGCAAGGAAATAAATATTGCATAGTGACTAGTTTCACAAGATAGCATTTTCAAATTTAAACCAGAAAAAGGAAGCTGAAATATAAAATGTAACTGAATAACACTAAAACAAAGTGCAGAACTCAAACTCTCATGAATTTYCACGTATAAAAAGACCAGAATACAGCTTTAGCATAAAATGAGCAAAATTCAGAGACAGATTTTAAGAAGATAAATATTTAGGTCCAAAGTCCATTTTCCACATTTTATAAATATATTCTCTCAAACTGAAAGCTTTYAGAGCTGTAAACTGAGAATTAATGCTTTTTCACATCTAACTGCAACAATAATAAAAACTAAATGTTGAAAAAAAATTCTCCTCTTCAGTCTCTTCAGAGAAGAGACCGATCTTCAACGAAGGTAAACATACTGTACGTTTCTATCCAATTAAGCTATTAAATTTCAGGAATAGCAGCCATATTTTGCTATAGGGTACAATGATGAAAAGTTACTTGGCACTGAATGAGTTAAAAATTTAGTATGTGCTTAAGAGTCAATAATATCCATTTAACAATCTATTCACATATAATGTTAAGAAGAAAACTTCATGGTTGATTTAATTTGTTGTTGGTTTGTTTTTTTTTTTAATAGAAACACACACCCCATTCTTAATGCACAGTTTAAATCTGTCATACAGAATCTATCATTACAATTAAGACTTTGGAAAACTAATCTTTCCAAGTTTTATTGAATTCACATTACTACTGAAAGGTAGTAGGCCCTGTTTCCTCATATATGTCTCTATACATCCATATATAACATAYAAAAAAGAACGTATTGAAACAACAGAACAAAATCCCTGAATAATTTTGAGGACATCTCCAACAAATGCCACCCTACACAGATTCTTCCCTCAATTATACCACRGCATTCACCAATAATGTACATGGGGAAAAGAGGGCACAGTGTTTCAACTTCAACAGGGCTTCTGCACAGTTTAAAAAAAGGAGAAATCTCAGATGTATCATATAGATCTCTCTTTTTATCTTGAGGTCCTTTAAGAATAGACAAGGGCAATTAAAAAATCCAACCTCAAAGAGCACTGTTATCCTTAAAAGCTCATGAATGTGCCCTTCACAACAATATCAGCTTAACAGAATACTTTCAATTAAGGTCTGAGGCAGATCTTTAGCATTCCAGACCAGAAGTCAAGATAACTGTTCTTTATTTCTCCCTTTATCTCAACTTTCTCTCTGCAAAAGGAGCTAACAGCTCTAGATTTACATCAGCAACAGTTCATTTAGAAGATGAGGCATAAGAACTATACATAAGGAACAATTACTGTATATTATATCTGTATAATATCTGTGTTATATCTGTACCACCTCCATTCTCAGAGTCCTGTCTGCAGCAAATCTGGGTTTTGGGTAAAAAAATTCCCTTATAGTAGGCTAATGCTTGAAACAGAGAACCTACTGCAGGCACCTTCCTTGAAAGACAAATTCGCCTCAATGTGCAGAGCACCCCAAAGGATCTGCACGATTTACATGGAGGAAGTCAGTGGAGAGATTATATACAGAARAGGGCAATTACTACATGCTCAGACACTAAGATTCAGTTCCACAGTACCAATCTCAGCTTCACATRTGGTCAAAGAAGAAGCTCTGTAGAGTGGTAATAGATACTTATTGATTACCTGAAAAAAAAAAATACTTTCACATTTTTACAGGAGTCCCCAGGCATCCAATATTACAGGCATCCCATTACAGGTTTAATGGACAACAGAATAACCAAGTCACAAAACATATCCCATGAACTAGCATCAGATTAGGAAACTGGTGCACCAGCAGGCACAGGAGTACAGACCACAGTTCTGAAATCCTTATCATAGCACAGACTATCCAAACTAGRAGAGAGAGACAGGATAAAGACCCAGGCAATAACTATTAGTGACAACTACAACCAACATTACAGCATGTGCCCCAGCACAATCACTTGATAATTACCGATCACATTTATGGTATGTGAAAGAGGCAACACAATTTGCTTAGCTAAGTCACTGCGGCTGACCAGAATCAACAAGTTACAGTCAGTTTTGAAAATGCTTTTCATTACGTGTATGCTCCTACCTGTGAATTTGCCCATTCCTGTGTAGATAGTCTAAGCCCTCCAAAACTTCTTTAAGAATTGTTGCTATTATTGGTTCTTCAAGCACACCATTTTTATGCTCTCCTCTGTTGACAATATACTTTATTATATCAAGCATGGAACCTATATCGCAGATCCAGGAAACAAAAAAAAAAACAAAACCAAAAACAAAAAAAAAAAAACCAACAAAACATATACAAAGCATTAGCATATCAGATTCTTTAGAAAGCTGTATTTCTTCATTCTTTCTATGCGACTGCAATTTAAATCTTAGCAAGTATATTTACGTATTTCATGTAACTAGCTCCTAGAATAAAGCTCCCCTCTAACCCATTCAAACAAGATACAGAGCACAGCTTTTTGTCAAAAATGCTGTAACACTTACTGATCCATTAGAAAGATCTGCTAACAGCCTGCTTATTGCAAACACTTAGTAAAAATTCAGGAGCACCCCATATTTAAACAAATATGTACTGCAAAGGTTTTGGTGTATTATCCAGTTTGGATTATGTTCATGTGTTCATGATGTAAACGCGCAGCTGCAAGATTGGAAGGAGATATTCTCTGCAAACAAACAATAACAACATTCCCAGTGACACATAGTCTGATATTGWACTTCAGTTACTATACATTTCAAGGCACTTAATGTATAATAAAACATTTTGTTTTTATCCAAGCATTATTCAACAGCTCACAGTAAATTCCTGTCATGAATCACTGGTTTCTCTCATGCTCTGTGCTTGCTTTTGACTGAACTGACCAACTGAACCAAATGCGACACTGCAAAAATTATGAGCACTTCCCATCCTTGTTTTCCAGCATCATGGGAAAGTAGCCTGCTGCCATCAAGATTAATCTTGAACAACATTGTGTAACAACCAGGACCACCATATCTTAAAATTTGGAGTCCCTCTTTTCTAAACTACAAGCACATTAAATTCAGCCCCTTTTTTCCTCTTCCAGAACTAAATAAGAATTTTATACCRTTAAGCACCATCATCAAAAAATGAAATGATTGGTTAGTTTRMGCAACAAAAAGGATTCAACATGTGYAATACCTGGCCTAGGATGAATCTTGCTTGAATAAGGAATGAGTAGTACTCATTATGAAATCAGAAATACATGTATTTTTATAAAAATAGAGGGGATTCCAGAGGAACTCAATAAAAGAGCACACTGATAGAATTTACTTCAGTCACATCAGTTTTCCTTACACAGSCTTAGCAGAGAGTTTGATAGATTGATTCAGAATGAAAATAAATTCTGTTTATGTAACTACTGTATTTGAGTAATTCTTAGCCTGTCCTATGAATACAGATATACAAACCTTTTAAGCTTGCACATTCCTGCTTAACATGCCKACATCTCAAGGTTCATCCTATGCAGCGTCTACCCTCTTCTCATTATTTGGTTTARATCAATGAACTCAAAGAAGGTACATTAGGAAAAAAATCCTACAATTGCCTAGCAGCTGAACAAGTAAAACCAGTAACTTACCCCCACTCAATAGCTTCATAACCAGCCAAAGCTCATCCTTCACCACAAAAGATGTGTAATAGGTCACCACATTAGGGTGATTGCACTGACTCATTGCTTGAATTTCTTTCTGTAGGAAATACAAAGCCCAACATAACACAGCCAGCTATCAGTTTTGTTAATATAATGTTTAATTTCCAAAGTGAAATACTACAACAAAACAAAAGTCTGTACAGAGTACACATCAAAGCATTAAAACACTAAATACCTGCATGCAAGAAAAAAACATCATTGCTAAGAACATGAAGGAGGTTTGGCCAGGAGATACAGGCATAACTACATCACTTTTCTTCTGAGAACAGCAAAGAAATTACTGTTAAAGTCTCAAATTCACAGTAAGTAATTARGAACGAGCAGTCCTCAAGAGCTGAAGGTGTGGATACAGGCTGGACAACAAAATGCAAGGAAAGATCAAAATCTACTGCATTGTCTGTTCAAAAGGGATATGAAGAGTAGAATGGAAACRGGCAGGAAAGGAGGAAGGAAGCCATCAGACAAAGGACACAGCACCACTGGCTCAGTTACTGTGGGATGGACAGGTGGACACCAGAGCCACGCTGTCAAACAGAAATGGARAAAAAGCAATATTACAGACCAAAAGTCATAGGAAACAATTGACTAGAGGAGCACACAGTCACCAACAGATGCACAACATGGCACTACCAAGTAACACCATCTATGACACGCCACAGCTGTACACATTAAGAATGACTGCCTTGTATCTGTAAATTCAAGCAGAGTTCTATTCACTATTTCACATAATTGTTCTGTAACACCTTTCCAGCCGTTCTCATTCTTCTGCCAATCATTTACATAGGAGCATGAGGCCTCCTCTGTACCAGAGGGTTTGGCCTCTCACCAACTTAAGCTCCCACAACTCTATTTCTCTCTCTCCACCTCTGGCCACAGAGCCCTGCTCCATCCCTGTGCTAGAGGACATGCTCCTGGAGGGTGAGAGAGTCCACAAGCCAATCCAGCTAAAAAAAACCTCTTTTTCCTCTCCTCCCTCCCTGAAAAGCAACTGCTTTGAGGTGGACTGTGTTTGACTYAAAGCACTTGTCAAGTTAGGCACTATGCAGGTCTCACTCTAAGTTGATTAAAGCTTCCACAAATGCCATTTTCAATTTTCAACTTCATGTAACCAATTGTTTGAAAGCGTTTTTTTGGTTTTTGCAATGCACTCCAAATAACAGCTGGTTTCTAATAAAAAGTTAATTATTTGTATTAAAGACTGGGATTTAATGTCTCATGATGCTTGTTGGTGACTGTTAAAGTCAGGCTGTAGTTCAACACACACTGCAGCATATTCTGTTGTCCGAAGTCCTCCTCCTTAGACAACTTCTGAACCCTGAACCACAGAAGGAAGAATGCCTGGATAATGAGTCAATGAGCCTGAATAATAAGAGCAATTTGCAAGATAGCTCCCCCTCATCCCCCAGAAGACAGGAGGTAGAAAACGACAGGCATGTGGAGTGCATTTCCCTCTCCCAGAAGAATGTCATCCTAACCACAAGTGAAATTACTGCCTCAGGTTCTTAATTCAGCTACTCGTTCCAAATCTTAACTGTAMCTCTCCCACTCCAGGTTACTATTTCATTTCTTACACTGTTTTATTATTTTCCTATGSTGGTAATATAACAGTGATTCCAAAAGTCCACCTGACATCACTAGGCAAAAATGCATCTCGTCTATTTTTCTCASACATTAATAATGCAGAAATGTAACTAATTGACTGAGATAAGCTTCACTATCTTTAACTGAAAAGTGCTTTGAATATTTTACCTCCCTGCATCAACTCGTGGGCAACAACTGAGCTACCACAGTGACCATGGCCAAAGGTACCTTTTGTCTCAGCTTTCATGACTTTTTTTTTCAGAGAGTCTTTGCAAAACAAAAATAAACAAAGAAAAAACACCTCATGAAAGATAAGGGCTGATATTTTAGTCAGGAAAGAATTAATTTCAGACTTGCAGTTCTAGGAAGCTTCTATCACACACAGAATGGTAAGCCTCCACAGACTACAGTTATTTGGCTGTGGCCCATGATTCGCACAGATGAGAGAGTGAAGCATTCAYTTAAAACACACTGCCAGGGAAACAGCCTGCAGTGAACATCCAGGAGAACACGCTGGAGCTTCCTCACATTCATGTCACCTTAGACATTCAGCAGCAGCAAAGAAGTAAGAGCAATTTCAGTCTGTCCCTCATCCCTCTCTTCTCCCTGCCTCACACCACACAGGTTTGCGCTGCACCAGGCAATACGCCCAGGTTAAAAGCTAACCTCTTTCAGCCAGGTTATTTCTGATCCAGTTTCACCCAGCAGCTGCATAAAAATGTCTTTCAGCCTAAGGGCAAGTGGGTGACACAGTTAATAAGCAACTGTGAGACAGCTCCTTTCCGTGCTCTGCGGCAGCAGCCGGGCCAGTCCCAGCTCCCAGGCARGTGCCACCGCTGGCTGGGGACTTCCCCAGGGCCAGGGGGACAGCCGGGAACGGCCCCGAACGGGCCAGGGGCTCCTCCACACATCCTGCCTCTAAAGGGCAATCCAGAGCACGAACCAACAGCCTACAAAATCTATTCAAACCACCATTCTACAGAACATTCTTTAGTGTGTAGCCTTGAGGTTTTGATGTTTTAAAAAACGGGAGGTAAAGCAATGGGGAAGATAACCAGGCAGGACAGCACTAAGGACAGGACAGGACCTTTTCCTTGGCTCAGGGGCTTAAGTTACACTTAGCTTACAATAGTGAGAACACAGGACATTGCAGGAAACAGAGTATCGAATTTCAGGAGTTTGGCAGTTTGTGTAACCTCAGTAATATTTAAACTCCCTCCTACACTGCCTTTCTATTTTAATTGACACTGGCCCAAATACTAAGTCTGCTTACATGGGCACCAGGCTTGATGCATTTCCACTCCTCTGAAGGCAACACAGCTGAGAATTTTTGAAGGGTGCCTGTGCCCAGCATTCATAAGCACCCAGCACCAGCATTTTAAAAAACAGTGTGTTCAGAGAGTTTTAGAACATCCCTGAGCCGATAAAAACTGTTTCATCAGAAAAACAAGTGATTAAATAATGATTAGACTAAAAATTTTTAGACTCRAAATCTGCCAAAAATGCAAGAACATTCTAAATACCATCAACTGCAATTCAAAGGTTAGTACAGATGTAACAGGAATTTTGAAGGTCAATGAAGCCTTTTTTAAAAAAAAAATGCTCTATTTTTTATACAAAATTTTAAAGTTTCTCTACTAGAACTGAATCATAAGTATACTGACCCTCACAGAAAAAGTCAATATTGTATGTGTAGGCATGCACATAGGTGCATGCACTTCTTTAACTCTCCTAACCAGGAACCAGAATTCAACCTAACAAGAAAACCAGAATTCATGTTCCAATCAAAACAGATAAACAAAAAAAATAAACAAAAAATCTGAGCACAGAAAAGCAGAAATTGACTAACATTAAAAAATAAAAAAAAAAGATGGTATGGACAGCTGTCTTCATACAAAAAAGAAAGCAATATAGGACCAAAAATTCAAGACCTACTGCCTCATTTGACAGACAGTGGAGACATGTCAACAATAAAGACACTCAAGTACTTGGCAAGGTAACTTCATACAAGCTGTTAACTAACTACAATCATTTCTCTAGAYCATATTAATTTCTCTTGCAGATTTTGGCAGTTTAGTCTGGTTTTGCTTATTTGCTTGTAACATTTTAATTCTTAATTCCCTCTATTAGTTCAAATTCAAACAAAAAGGATCAAATTTTGACAATTTCATGTCACAACTATTAGTATTTATCTTYTTATAGAAATGTTCTTGGTGGACTGTATCTGTTAATACATCATGCACAGCATCTCACCTTGGGCTGTTCTCTTTTTAAACACAGTTCAGAATTTATCTTTTGTTTTCTCAGTTGACAGAATTCTTACTACCTCAGAAGTAACTTCCACTACCACAATCCTCGTTAAWAGCACAACAATGTCACATACAAGCTGTCACATAAACTGAAGGTGAATGCCATCAATCACCAGGGGAAGAGCATTTTGGGTCCTCCACTGTAAAAAAGCCATTTTATCTGAAGAAACTGGATGGACCATACCCTCTGTATCAAATTCAAGATATCTTTTGAACTGGCAATTCCCTGCTGAGGAGATCATTTCCTTCAGAGGCAGGAATTTCTGCATTAGAAAAAGCCCACAGTCTCTAGGCAGTAGTATAACCTGTGGAACAGAAGAGAGTGTTCTCACTTTTAGAATGGTTTTGTGTCCTTCAAATCTTGTTATGCTGCCTATATATAAACACGCATTAGTCTTATAAGCACCTAACTAGGAACATTAGAAAGCAATAGGTTTTGGGTTTCAATGGTTCTTTGTGGCTTTGCCTAGATTGCCATGACCAAAGGAAAACTCCTGCAATTCCTTTACAAATGGCTTCTTACAGGTCCCTTTCTTCTCTGATCAGTGGCCCAAACAAATAACATTCTTCAAACATTCTTGTAATGGCCTATCAGATAAATGTGTGTTATTCGTTCTAACAAGAGTTTCCTTGTGYAGATGGCAGTGTAGCCATTCCTCCTTTTCTCTATAAAAATTATCATTACAAAATGATCCAACATTGTTTGGTGCTTTAGACATTTTAAGGAGACCWACTAAATTTTACCTTCATGTTTTTAATCTGTGTTTAACCAAAGGAAAATGTATCTTTCCCCCATATTAAAAAATTAGACAACCAGACAGTAATCTCTTAAARATCAAGTTTCCAGAAGACAAGAGTTTAGGGTCTTCCCACGGTTACCCCAAGTTGATTATCCCAAGATTCAAGTTTGCACATTTCATTTTTGTGACATTAGAAAAGATACATTAGAAAATTTTATCTTTAGGGAATGGTGTAAGTCTTTGAGATTATTTTCRTATTCTTCTCTCACATCCTGCATCAAATTCTACCCTCACTCTTGGACCAAGCAAAAAACCAAGTCAAAATACAAGGTAAGTCTCCATGTAACATACTGCCCCCTGATTTACTTACAAGTAATTCATCCATACTGGTTTGGCATTTTTCTAAGTTGATCCTCTTTATTGCTACACGTTCTTGCCTGGGTTTGCACAGTGCTGCCTGGACAACTGCTGTAGCACCGCTACCTGGAAAAGGGCAGAAAAGGAACAGTCTTAACATAACAGGAGTCTAAAGCACTGACTGGCATAAGAAGCCCAYACTGACAAAGAATTTCAAATCTACTGTTTAACCTTTTTCAGTGCTTTCCCCAGAGGCATATCTTTCCACTAGCAAGACACCTTTCACATTTCCCAGATGGAAAAGAAAAGCCTCAAAGCTTCTTTTCCATACCCTACAAAAAAAGTCCAAAGTCAACAACTTAAAATGATGAGCTCATTTATTCAGACATAACCACAACCTCAATGCATTTCACAGTTTGGGAACCCCTGCACTTCTSTCTTTCGATACATCTGTTTTAATCAAGAACATGACCTGCACAGTTGATACAATTAAAAGTGTTACATGGACGGGTGGGTGTTGTGCTTTATCAAATGTTATTTCTTTCTGTTCTTTCTGGTCAGTCTCTGTTTAAGCACATTTTTTGCTCCCCTATGCAATGAACACAAAATTATCCGTAAATTGTACATGCCAAATCCTCTACAGTTGCACCAGTGCTCCTGCTCATTCATCATGATTAGAGTAACATCCTACAAAGACCAGACCGATTCTTGTGAAGAGCACAGGAGGCACAAGTGTCRCACCAACAAAATGCAGGTCACAGAATGGCTCAGCAGAGAAAGTCACTCATGCTTACTTTGCATCCAAATCACATCTGCTCACACAACTATGCTGATATCAGAGCCCAGAGGAATTGAACAAATTTGGGCAAAGGAATAGAATAATTTTCTCTAGTACACCTTATTTATGAACAACAGTAAAAGGTATTGTTGCTTCTTTCATCAGCACCCACTGGCATCACCCCAGTCAGTATTGCCTTATTAAATTAATCAAATTATTACAATATTCAGAAGGAGTTTCGCTCAAGCTGCACATCTTGCTGCCACATTAAATCCAGTGTGCTTCCTCAAATAACTACATTGTGCTCATCCATGCAGAAATCTAAAAGCCCCCAACAAGCTTCTACCTATAATTCTAAATATTTTAATAGATATTAGGGATTTCTGGTAAGTCATTTGAGCAACATGTTATATTGGCCTGCTTATAAACTATGTTCTATTTATTTGGCATGCCCTAGATGAATACAAATTGTGAACAAAAAGCCTTTTGTTGTCAAGCTCTACAAACGTGGTTTCAGTTACCAGCCGACTTAAGAACAATTGAGAGCTTTTCCCTCTGCACATCTGAAAACAGCACCAACAGTACCTCATGACTGAAAGTTATTGTACATGTTTTAATTGCTATTTGCTTAGCTACTTTTATGTATTGTTGGTTCACATGATGTTTTCACTCAAATCACAAAGCTTTTTGACTGTGTTTGAATTTCATGTCAAAATTCTGAACTCATCTTTCTTTAAAAAAAAGTCTCTTTAAAAAAAAAAAAAAAAAAACAAAAACCTCTCAACAGGACTAACTAGTCATGTTTCTGCAGGATGTGGTCACAGACAAATATTGACATGTCCTGTTCTTTCTGCTTACAGAACAAAGCATTTAAAAATTCCAGTAATGTAGGTAATAAAAGAATTAAGAGGTTTCAAAAATTAAATAAGACATCCCATGGAAGAAACCACCAAGTCAGCACAATCCAGCTAAGGTAAGACTCATCTACATCACTTTAATGAATTCCTCATTCAGTAGACATTGAAACACAAATCCTCTCATTACTTTGACTATACAACTGTAGGTTGTATAGAATACAGCCAATATACCTAGTTTCTTCTTTCTCCTGCTTTCTTAATACTCTACACAACACACTAGTTTGAGAGTAAAGTCAATTTGTGCAACCTTCACTCTTGGTTGGACCTACATACATATAAAACCTGTGTGGAAAAGCAATTTCACTTACACTGCAGTAGGAGCCAGATACTCAGTAGCTATATGCCTCCTTCCTCTTCAAAGATGCTCTCTCCTTCTCTGGCTCACAAGGTGAACAGCCAGGGACAGCTGCAAAACCTGCAGCTTTCACATCTGGTCAGAAGACTCCTTTTGTCTCATCTACCAAGCAAGTGGAAGTGTGAAGTGTTCCAGAGGAGCAGCTATTAGAAACCAGACTACCCAGATAAACTGTTTAATTGAGAGGTAACAGACTACTGAAACAAYGCACTGTCATACAGTGAAACCAAATTGTCACAGATAACCATTTAGCACAACAAATTAGGATGACAGAAAATGATTGCGTAGAACAGATTACAGTCAACCATTCCTTGTCAGAAGGCAGGGCTTCTTCAGATACATTGAGCCTTATGAGTCTTCCAATACCCTCAAAGCAGAGAGTACGACCTACACTATAACCAAAGCACGGACTGGTTTAACATCCAGTCTCTGTTTAGGAAACTGATACAGTATAATGAAAGCTCAGGCTGGATAAAGCATGAAGCCTTTACATCCAGCTGTGTCCTGCAGAAGAACAAAACAAAAGGTTTACCCATGGTCAGACTAAAAAAAAAAAAAAAAAAAAAAACAAAAAAAAAACCAAAAAAAACAAAAACAAACCAGCTTTGTGAGAACAATGGTGGTTTTCCACTACTGGAAAAGTCATTCTGCTACAGACAAGTTTTCTTTGCTAATTTCAAAAGTCAGCAGTGAAATAATGTAATTTCAAACCACATCAAGATGCCTACTACTCCATGCCTACTACTCCCATTTCACAACAGACAACAGGTCAGAGTTTCATCTTGTCTGGGTGTTTTTGCTGCCATCCTCTCYAGTGTAAGCATGCCCTTACAGCCAACCTGTCCCTTCATGCTTCAGACCATACACTCCCTACCATCCCATCCTCAGTGCAACATAGCCTTTAGAATTGATTTTAACTATCTGGGTTCCCACAAGAGAAACCTTCTCAAGAGCTACTACATATGGCCACACTTCACCTCTTCTGAAAGGATRTAACCTAAATGCAGTTCACTGCATTCCACTCCATACATACTTCACAGACAGCATACAAAAACTCTACAAATACTCATCTGGGATTTAAGCTTACATGAACAACTTCTTTCAAGCTGTTCTAACCCTGACATAAAGGTATTTTTTTCTCTCTCCTTTTTTTTTTAAACCATTAATTTAACCCTTGAAGAACCTGTCTCCACTTGGCAAATAGAAGGATATTTGAACTACTGCAATCAACAAGGGACATCAACACTTTAGTTTTAACTACTCTCCACTAGTCAAGTCTCAAATAGATAGATGGTGAGGTGAGACGATTGGGCYATATCACTTGCACATTGCACATGCCCATATCCTTCATACAAGGATATGACACTTCATTTATTCTATTATTTATAAAGGTCTGATACGTACCACTTCTCACAGTACAGCAACTGTATTTGAAATAGAAAATTCAATATAATTAAAATATTKCAATTTTCTTCTTTTCCTTAAAGAAATGTCAGTAACCATGGTCATTAGACCATAATGATTTAGCAAGTCTTTTTTTTTAGTGGCTTAGTTTTAGGTTCTGCAGTATTTCAGCACAAACCTCCTTTAAAGATTTCTACACTTTAGGTCACGCTAACAAAAGAGACCTTCCACAATACCACAGTGATTCTACTTTCTGAAGAGGAGGATGAAACTTGTTGATAATGGTAAGTTTTCCTGTTGACCAGATATCTGAAGGRTGTGACAGCAGTTGCAATTGGAGAATACTAAATACTTTATCCCAGAATCTACAAAGTCCTACATACCAACCTATATCATCTGCATTTTTACACACTTCTTCTGCTCCCCCAACATGCAGAAGCCTTCTATTAAATGTAGCTGATTAGTGGACAGAAATTTTAAACCAGTCTCCAATCCAAGACTAAATTGTAACTAGCGGTGTAAAAAGCCAGTAGTAAACATAATAAAATCTATGAAAATTGATGAARCAGCTAAGGAAGTATGTCTTTTGAATTTCCCACAACATCCTATTTCAGAAGTGTCCCCTAGGAAATTCTTAAAAGTAACTCATATACAGTGCAACTGCAGGATTCCTTTTGCATAGAGCAGAATGCATTTGCACAGAAAAACTGTGAGGGCACAAATCTAGATTATGTTTCTACTCGTCAATARAAGTGAAGTGTTTTTTATGTGACATACAAAGCACCTGTGTTTATATACAAGCTTGGAAAGCTATGTTGTAYATGCTGTACATTGCATGCAATATTGTGCAGCATATTTTCAGCATTACTAAATCTGTTATGAACCGATCAGCCCCTCAAAATTTTCCACAGCAGCACTGGGCCAAACAAGCCTCTTCAGTTTCCAAAGAATAAATTCTGTTGGTGGCAAAGCAATACTTCTGGTCAACAAACAGAGAACAAAGAATGTTTAATTCCTTTCAGTTTCTAGCTTTCACCCCACAATACCCTAGACAACTTTCAATATCACTCACTTTCTTTCTTATTACTTCCACTGATTGAAAATAAGTTATAAATCAGCTGAGTAAAGCTCATCAACACCACCATACTGAACTCTACATCTTTCTGAAACTYAGCTTCTTCATAGAAAATGAGTCATTATTTCCCTTTACATCTTCGCATGATGAATACTTGAGTTCTTAGGAATGMTAATCATGTAAATACAATTTGCTAACAATTTTTGCCCACTTTGTTTTCTTAATTCATGTTGGGATAAAATCTCTCTCCTTTTAGCTCACTAGGATACTACTTTGCTTATCTTAGCAATTATGACATAATTTACTTAAAATACACTAAGAGTTACATCAAATATTTGCCCACACATAGAATTGCTACTTCTGCATTTTCAACATTCAACAATTAATCTCTTTAATTTCTCATTGAATTTGTTTTACAGTCAGACATTTGAAAATCTCACTATTATGGCTATAGAACCACTGGGTTACTCAACTGTTGTAGTTACCTTTTTGTGGGAAATTAGCTTACACAAAGTCTGAGATCCATCTCATCCCATACTACTTTTTAAAATCTCATTGCATAAACAATCCAGACAAGCCTCTCCAAATATGCTACAG